TTTGGGTCTTAAACGAACCCTTTTGCAGGGGAAACTTGAGATTTTACGACCTAATTTAGGGGGTACTGAATTTTCAGAATGGACTTCTGGAATTGGATTGTAGCCTACTTGGTTGGAGTAGGTTACGTCCTAAACTGGTTAGGAATCTAATTGTAGCTTGTGTGCTGATTTTTATTTTTTGGGACTGGAAATTATTTTGCCAATGTAGGTCTGTACAGAGAAACGATTCAGGCATTCTCGAGTCTCGAGATTTGAAATAAAAATACTTTCCAAATTTATACTTTTCAGTATAACGCATTTCCTCTAATGGAACCGAGCCGTAAATTTTGAGCTCAATTATCTCGTTTCCTGTAAAAGATATCAAAAACCTTCCAACTGATAAAATATTGGTGATTTTGTGGTAAACAAATTATCAGTTCACAAATGTTTGATATCTTTAACAGGAATCGAGATCATTTTCATAATTTGGAAAGCATGTGTATTCAGAACATATCTATCCTATGCCCTCAAATAGAAGCCCACCCGTACCGTTAACTTTGAGCTCAATTATCTCGGTTCCTGGGAGAGATATCAACATCTTCTCAACGGATAAAATATTGGTGATATTATAATAAGTAATTTCTCAGTTGACAGATTCTTAATATATTCCATAGGAATCGAGATAACTGAGCTCAATGTTGACAATTTGGATGGTTTTCGATTAGAGGAAATACGGGAGATTTTTTCTGAAAAAAAAGCTTTCCAAATTTTGAAAAAAAGATCTTTTCGGGATATACAAATCAGCTGATTTTTGTGACACATCTATCCAACGATTAAGCCGTAAAAGCCTTCCGAATCCTTGAGAAGAGAAGTTCTAAAAGGGGGATAATCTACACGGGAAGATCTCTAAAAACTTATCTCATACACTTAACGACCTTCAAAGATCTTTCAACAAGAGCGACGGACGGAACACAGAAGAATGCCTCCGAGTAGTGGAGATTGGAATCGAGAAACGGGAACCGTCAGTACAATTTTGAAAAAAGTGAGAGACGAGCCGACGGGACCTCTCTGTGAAGCTTCTAGACGCTTCTAGACGTATCATGTTACCTGTCAGGGCAAAAAGAAGTCATCTAGACATGTTTCATGGTTACTAGGTCAGAAGGACGTCATCCAAACTTTTTAGTCTCTTTGGAGAAAAAGGAAAAAAGCGAAAACCGTCGTGTGGAAAAGAGCAGAGCAGTGCGGATGGCCAATATTTGAAACACACACACACACACACACACACACAGACAACACATAGCAGCAAAGAGACACACTCACAAAAGAACACTATTCAAACATACACACACCGGGAGAGGAGGAGAAAAGGAAAGAAAGAAGAGACAGCAAAAAAAGAAAAGGTATGCTCTCTCGGCTACTGCACAGGTGAAGATTTTTTCGCCGGACTCGATGGAGAGAAAAAAAATACATGTGGTGGTGGCACTCAAATAGAGAAGGCGGTTTTGAAACCACCCAGGTTCGACAGGTAAACAATTATATTGGTTTGGAAACTGTATTACGGTAGAGAAGGTTCCACGTGGTTTCTAAAACACATTTCGCCCATTTTTCTCTGGAAACAGACTACGGTTCCTTTGATCTGAATTACTGTACTTCCTCAAATAGGAGCACGCTGTCTGGGTCTTGCGAGCTCAATTTAAAGGCGCATATCTCAAGAAATACAGTAGCTTGAAAAAAGTTGCATTTTGTGGTTTACAACTTTTGAAAAGGTACTGTAACTTGTGGGCTCAATTATCTCAGTTCCTTTAAGAGATATCAAAATTAGGTCAACTGATAAATTGTATGTCATCATATCACTTACATTTTATCAGTTGACAGATTTCAGATATCATTTGAAGGAACTGTGATAATTGAACTCGAAGTTTAGACTTCTATTATGGGGTGCCGGTCTATTAGAGGTTTCCAGAAAAGTCGTAACTTTTAGACAACCAAATCTTGTGTCTCAAATGTTGCCAAGGTTTCTGAAAGCTTATCAAATTTGCAGGTGTTCTTAATAGAACTAGTTTCGTGTGCTACCTGGCACTAGCTCGCGCTGGCTCCAGGTAGTAACATTCGAGAGCAACGAAACAAACTGCTCTCTCCGCGCTTTTCAAAGGTTGCTCTTTTTCCGCACTTCTCTATGAAAAGAGATGATAGAGGGCATAATTCATTTGCCTGTCTACATTGTGTTATGGTGTTTCGGATGGGTCCTACTCGTCTCAAAGAGAGCTCCTGTACCCGATAGACGTGGCGCAGGTAACAACGACGCAGCCACACGCAGCAGAGACAAATGCTGTTCAAATACAGAGAAAGGCGAGGAATATAGTGTGTTTGTATTTATAAGAGAGAGAACAAACTCTTATATTCCGCTGTATTGAGGCTCCCGGAAAAATGTTTTCCGACGGAATAGAGAGCAATCTTTCAAAGTCTAAAATTTAATGTTTCTTCTTATTCTTCTTGTTTTTATCGTTCGCTGCACTTTCAGCAAAACACAAAGGACAAGAAATTTTTGAACAGTGAAAAAATATCATAGAATACAAAATGATAAGAGAAATATCTTTTTGCCCTCTATCAGATAATTTATGCCATAAATCAATTGATATATACTTTGAATTATGATGAAGCTTCTGCTTCTCCTATTCTCCATATGCAATTAGATGGGGATTCGGAACGTGTGTGGATGATTATTGGGTGGAATAAAATGAAGAAGGGTCTCTTTCTCTCTATTATTATCAGGCATATGGGTTCCTCCCCCGCCTTTTTCGGATAATTATAGACCTCCATAGAGAAGCGTTCGAGAAGAGACGAGAAGAGAAACAAAATTAAGACGGAAAATACTATTTTTACGGAGTTTTGAGGACTCTGTGTTTGCACATACATATAGAGACAGACAGTCTACACCTAATATTCACGCATGGTGGGATTAAATTTAAAAAGAAGGAGACAGGTGCCTGAACAAGGGAAGAAGAAGGAACTTCTGAAAAGATCAAAGTTTCGGATTTTTGGATGTTTCAGGAGCTCAAAAACTTGAAAGACTGTAAAACCTGTATTAGAAGGGCCGGTCGTTACAATTTTTGTGACTTCGCTAGGGGCACTTCAATTAGAGGAGTCCTTCTAAAACAGGGGCCCTTCTAATACAGGTTATTCTAGAACGAGGCTTTCGAAAATCGGAGGAAACTAATTTTTGGCAAATTTCAAGAAACAGAGACTTTCAGAAGTCATTTAAAAGAATTTTTAAGCAAAATTGGATAGAGGGGATTTGAAGAAGAATTTTAAAATGTCTTTTTTCAAGAATTCTAATGACGATCTCTGAATTTCTAATTTAAAAAATAGAAAAAAGGCTTCAAATATTAAATCGATCAACTTTGGAGTATTCTTCAAATTGAAAAAAATTGCATAAATACAAATTTAGAGGTGAAGTCCTATTAAAGTTTCACAATTTTCCGATTGATAGGTCTAAATTACCCTAACTAACTACACTAGACTACCAAATGAGTAATATTTTGAAAAAAAAAAATCGAAAAGAGGAAGATAAAAAGAACCCGTGAGCACAGGAACGAGACAACTGAAGAGTTTTTGAAGAAGTCGTTTTTCTCCATTTCTCTCTTTCTCTCTCTCTCTCTCCGTCACTATCAGTGTCGGTCCATCTATCTCTCTGGCACAACACTGGGCTGCACGTGTGGATGGAGTTTCTCTTCTTCTTCTTCTTCAGGGGGGAAGGAACCGAAACGAAGAAGAAGAAGAAGAGGAAGGAGCGAGCTTTTTTGTGCTTCGCTTGCCTTCGTGTGTGCATTTTTCGAGCAACACGACGAAAAAACGACGACGACGACAACGACAACGATGACGATGGGGAGACAGCGAGAGAGGTGACGAGAGTGAGGGCTCTTTCAGAAGCAAAAAGAAGGACAAGAGACAGCACAGAGACTTCGCGTGAGAAAAAAAAATAATCGAGAGAAGAAGAAGAAGGGGAAGCATTGAAAAAAAAGAAGAAAAAAAGGAAGAAGTATAGAGGAAAAAAAAGAAAAATGCGACAAAAAGAGGGAGGGAGAGGAGTGGCTCAAAGTTGAAAATGTGCCCGGCACACACACACACTCACATATTGCCGATGGGCTCTCTCACAGGAGGAGCCATGCAACAGTGGAAGAGAGACAGAGGGACCACGTGGTGTCTATAAAGGAAGAATTCCCCTTTTCGAAAAAAAAAACAAGAGGAAGACGATGCCTCCTCTTCCCTTATTCCACATCGTTCTCTTCCAGCTAGCTCTCTTAGACTGGCAAATGAGTCTTCTCCGGGTTGATTTGGCTATAAAATGACGAATTCCGGGAGAGGAATCTCGTTTTTCTAGGTCAAATTAGTTAAAACCAATCTCGTGAGATTGAATTTCGAATGTTCCAGTGTGTCCTTTTGGGGCTGAGGAGGCTCTCGGCTCTTTCCAGCAGCTTTGCTAGATTAAATGGAGGATTGAGATTCTAGGAAGTTCGAAAAATTCTGGTTTTTCGGTGGCATTTGAAAGGTAGTAGCCAGCCTGGAAGAAAAGGAGAAGAAGAGCTACAAAACGCATACCAATTGAAGAATATATGCCTGAAGTGTCGAAATGACGAGGAGGGGATTACTGAGAAGGGGAAGTCGAAGACAATAATATGTGCAACGATACGAAAAGGGCAGCTGCAAAGCTAAATGAGTCAGCCACGCCCTGGAGTTGCCAAGGCGACGGTTGGAAGCAAAGAAGAGGAAGAGGGAATATGGAACATAATTCGTATATATGGAAAATAGGAAAAGGAGATTATGGAAAAGAAGGGTTCAGAAGACCAAGGATGTTCGGAATGACCTTTTTGGAATTTAGGAATGTTCCTATTTTCGAATGTTAAAGAACTCCCATAATTTTGAAAATCGGAACAATCTGAAATTCCGAAAAGCCCATTCCAAACATCACGGGTAAAATATGGAATGAAAGGATCTTGAGAAAAAATTGGAACAATACTCACCAGTTCTTCCAATTCTGTGAGTGTAATCCTCGATTGTCTTAGCCATATCGTAGTTGATAACCAATGAGACGTCCTTGATATCAATACCTCTTCCAGCAACATCCGTAGCCACAAGAATCTTCGTTTCTTGATCTTTAAGTGCCTTCAAAGCGTATTCTCTCGCATCTTGACCCTTTCCACCGTGAAGAACACTGGTCTTCTTGCCGACTTTGGCTAGACCCTTAGCTAACGAATCTGCTCCATGCTTCCGGTTGACAAAGACGATGATTGGGTACTTGTCGTGTTGGGAGATCACTTCTAGCAACTTCTTCGGCTTGCGATCTTTGGTGATCATGTAGACAACCTGGAATTAAAACTTTTAGATTAGAAACAACAAAATGAAGACTCTTACCTGTTCTACTCTCTCGGTTGGCTTTCCTGCATTTCCGATATGCACCACTGCTGGTCTTCTCAAATACTGACGTGCCAATCGCTCGATTGCCGGTGACATTGTTGCAGTGAACATGACAGTTTGTCGATACTTGTCTCTCGTTTCGAATCCTTTCATCAGCGCCTCCTCGTTATCGAACTCATCTGTATCCTTCTTCATATTCGACGCTGGAAGGTATTCGAGAATTTTCTGAACATCCGGTTCGAAACCCATGTCGAGCATACGATCGGCCTCGTCGAGAATCACATAGGTGCACTGATTGAGAAGCAGGTAACGATTCTCGAGGACATCCATAAGACGTCCGGGTGTTGCAATGACCACTTCAACTCCCATACGAAGCTTCATTCCTTGTTCTTCTCTGCTGGCTCCTCCGATGACTGAAACTGTGCGGATACCGAGAAGCTTTCCAAACTTGTTGGTTTCTTCTTCGATCTGAGTAGCCAATTCTCTTGTTGGAGCTAAAATAATTGCATAAGGACCTTGATCACTGTGCTCTTGGCGTTCGATTTTCGGAAGACTTGTGATCCACACAAGAAGTGGAAGTAGGAAAGCGGCAGTTTTTCCGGAACCTGTTTCTGCCACACCGATGACGTCTCGATTCTGAAGACCGATGGGAATTGCTTGTCTTTGAATTGGCGTGGGCTCCAAATATCCAATCTCTTGGACTGCTCGATAAACTTCATCTGGGAATCCGGATTCCTCCCAGTTACGAAGAGGACGTGGAACCTTTCCTCCTTTGATGGAGATGTTGAAATCTTCACGGAAGATTCGCCAATCTCTGTCAGTCATCTCGGACAACTCCTTCATTCTCCAGTGACGATCGTCATGAGCCACCTTCTTCTCCTTCGTCTTCTCCTTCTCCAAACGATTCTTCTCTTGTTCCTTCTCATCGGCAGTTCTTCTAGTTTCCATCATCTCTTGATAGAATGAGTTCTTCTCTTTCTTCTGTGCATTCACATCCATTCCAGCGACGGATCCTCTTCCGAAGAATTGAATTTCATGGCGACTCTGATAGAGCTTATTGTAATCCTGTGAAGTGTCCTCTCCAGCGTCCCAATCGAAGACAAACTTCTTCTCGTGAAGTCGTCTCCCTCTCTTCTTCTTCTCCTTTTGTTTTCCTAGATATCTGTCCTTCACTGCATTTGCCATCTTTCCAGTGTCGTCTCCATCATCACTATCACGATCTCTTTTCCGATCGTCTCTTCGATCTCTCGGCTCTCTGCTACGACTTCTATCCCGACGTCTTCCATCTCGATCTCGACTTCTGCTTCGTCTTTTGTCCCGAGACCTGCTCCGATCACGTCGATCTCTCCGACGATCCCTGTCTCGTTCTCGGTCTCTGTCAATTCCACGATCCATTCCTCGATCTGATCCTCGATCCCTCCCATAATCCCGATCCTTTCTATCTTCAGCCGGCTTTTCGACTCGGCCCCAATTCTTTCTAGCCTCCTCGGCTTGTTTCTGAGCATCCCGAATCTTCGCGACTTGCTCTTCTCGTCGCTTCAGAGCCAATGCAGCTCGCTCTTCTTTCGTCAGAAACTTTGGCTGAAAATTCAATGATTTTACAACGAAACAACCGTTTACACTCACTTTCGCCATTTCATCTTCCTCTTGCTTTTTCTTCTCGAGAAGTTCTTCAAGTGATGGTGGTTCAGCAGCCATTTTTCACTGTAAATGTAATTTTTTAGAAAAAAATTCTATTAAAAATTAGAAGAAACAACAAAAAAACGCTGATTCTAAACAAATTCTATTTCAAATTGTCGCTATTCACTGCGAAACTGCCCAGCAACACATGTGGCCGCCATGCGGACTTCTAGGCCACCAGCGAACACATTTTCGAAACGCAGGATGCCCGCTGGCAATCAATGCCTTGTCGATGGATTCTTTCTGAAATATGTTAGTACGACTGAAAAGAACGAGGAAAAAGTATAGGAAATTCATATTTGAAAGCAGAAAGCCTTTATTGCGCAAAATCAAAAAGAAACATGCTTGAAAAAAAATCAACAAAATTCTCAAAGGGAAAGCAATAAAGAACATTTTGGGTAGAAAAACGAATAAGGGGGAGGAAAAATTAAAGAAAACAGATCGATCTGCTGATTATCGACTGAAGAAAGCTATAAAAACAATCGAGAACGTTAAGCTTATTCGGGTGATAGGACGGGGGTATTATCAAACACGGCAAAAGATCATAGAAATGAAAACACTGGAGAATAAGGATGGGAGGGCACAAATTTAGGAAATTATTCTGCTTGCTGTGGTGTCTTCAAATTGGTCATTCCAGCGCGCATCACTTCATCGACAAGCAAAAGGTTGCAGGCCAGTACGGTAGCCGAGGAAATACTGTTCTTCTTCACTGTCACATTATCCCAGATTCCTTGTGGTTCAACAGCGTCTCCGGTTTCAAGATCAAGTCCAACAGCGAGGTCTGGTCCAGCAGCAGTCTTCTCCTCAATCAACTTGACAAGTGTCTCCTGAGCATCATATCCTCCATTCACAGCCAACGTCTTTGGAATAACCAGCAGAGCTTGGGCAAAAGCTTCAGCTCCGAGCTTGGCTCTTCCCTTCAAGTTTGCCACTTCATTCTTGAGCATAACATAGGCGGCAACTTCGAAAGCAGCGGCTCCAGGAAGTACAGCCTCTGTAATATAAACTTTATTCTAGAGAATTCCTATGAATGACTCACTGTCAACAATAGTGTTGAAAACAGCACGAAGACCATCATGAATGGCATCCTTGATTTGAGTGATAGTGTGCTTGTTGGGTCCCTTGATGAGAAGAGTAACAGATTTTGGAGCACGGCACTCCTCGATAAAGGTGTACTTCTCCTCTCCGAGCGAATGCTCATAGACAAGTCCAGCGTATCCAAGATCTTCTGGTGTCAAGTCGTCGACAGAGTTGACAGCTTCCCCACCGACAGCCAACTGAAGTCTTTCCATATTGCGTCTCTTAGCACGGCGAAGGGCAAGAATTCCTTCAGCTGCCAACAGATCAAGAGACGGTGGGTCGATTCCTTTCTGGTTGATGACAACGAATCCCTTGTTCTTTCCATCTGGTGAATTGTCGATAACCTTCTTCTTCAACTCGATGATCTTGTGAACACGACGGGTGATAAATTCACGCTCAGCGGCAAGAAGAGCTTCGCGTTCCTTGGCAGTTTTGTAGAAAAGTCCAGAGTTAACCTCAGTCTTCTCGTATTCCAAAGAAACGTTGCAGGTAAGAATGTAGGCGTCTTTGACGTGTCGTGGCATGTCTGGGTGACGGGCACCATGGTCGAGAACCAATCCGCGAACAAGAGTGGTGTCCATATCACTGTCATGATGCATTTCCATCTTTTCAACCATATGAAGATCTGGCTCCTCACCATCACGACGGATAGCCAGTACAGCATCAACAACGCATCTAAGAAATAAAAAATGAAATAAGAAAAACTTATGAATTCCTACTCTGTGATGTGATCTGCAAGCTTTTGATGGAGTTTTGTGCGAAGTGCAGTACGACAGACTTCTACAAGAAGATCACGCTCAACTGGAGCCTCCTTCTTGAACTTCTCGAGGAACTCAAGCGTCTTGGCGTTGGCCCACTCGAATCCTTCTGTGACAAGACGTGGGTGAAGTCCCTGAAAAATTTGTTTTGAATGATATTGATTTTATAAACTTGATTTACCTCAAGAACAAGAGATTCGGCTTGCTTCAGAAGCTCTCCAATCAAAAGAACAGTAGAAGTGGTTCCATCACCGGTAACATCATCTTGTGCTGTCGATGCCTTTGCAATCATTGAAGCAGTTGGATGTTGGATAGCCTAAAAGCAACAGGAATGTATTCGTAAGCCTCGAAAATCAATCACCATTTCGTGAAGCAGGACATTTCCATCCTTGGTCAACTTGATATCTCCAGCTCCAGAAACGAGCCTAACAATCATTTAGATTAACTTCTTTGACAAAACAAAAAACTTTCCCACATTTTAAGAGTTCCCTTTGGTCCAAGGTTCGATCTCATAACGTCTTGAAGTCCACGAGCTCCGCTGATGTTGAGCTCGAGAGCGGCCGCATGCCTGGCTAATTCGGCCTTCGGATTCAGGCACTGGATGGAAGACATATTACCTGAAAAAACAATAGTTTCGACTCGAAGCAAAGTCAGACAAAAACATAAGTTTCAAAAAAGGGTTTCGGCAAATAAAATAGCAGAATCATGAAGAAAGACCTCCGGAAACTTTACAATCAACTGTCAAAAATCTGAGCAACAATTCTAATGCGTTAATTAGCGAAAAATCGAGAGAAAATGACCGAAAAAGATCCAGAAACGCATACTTTTTTGAATTTTTTCTAGAAAAATGAATTTGAGTTTAAAGGCGCATGCCAATTCTTCGCGGATATCCCGCCGCGAAGAGAGGTTCTACGTCTTTCGGCGCCGATTTACGCGCACCGTTCAAATTTAGTTTTTTTCCCTTTTGTCACAAAACTTTCAGTTTTTTCAGAGATTTTTTTTGCTGAAAATTGTTAATTCGTTAATTTAATTTTTCTTTAATTTATTTAGGTTTAACAGCTAATTTTTTAGGTCACAAAAATAATTTTTAGATGCTTGTCATTCAACTTTTGCGCTCAGAATTTTTTGCTGGTTCAGCTAAAACTATCAACGACGAGAACAATTGAAAATCTTTTGAGATTTATTCAAATATTCACTTTTTTAGAGTACATGAGTTCAATGATTTTCTTCTTTCATTCCTGATGGGCATCATGGTGACGAGATGTGATATGTTGCATCAATGACTTCATCACCGACTTTTTCCCGACACCAGTACTACTGCTCTGATCACTACGCCTTCCAGCCGATGCCACTTCTGTAGATCGCTTCTTCTTGGCCTCGTTCTCTGATTTGCGATCCTCACTCGATCCAAGGCGGCGATCATCGTTCGAATTGTCTTCTTTCGACTTGACCTCACGAGCCATTTTTTGTTCTTTCTGTAATAGAAATAGAATTTTTAGATTTGAAGAATTTAATTGTAATTAACCGGAATGAGAGTGGATCTTCTGGTAACGACATTCTCGTAGGAATTACTCTTCTCACAGTTTGGAATTCCTTGATCTTTGGTGTCAGTCTTGGCGAGTTGTGCGAGACGGCAGGCTGAGGCATCTTCGTTTCTGAATTTCCAAAATCAATTTAAATAGATTCAAGACCCTATCTTACTCGCAAGCTTTTTTGTAATCTGCCTGTGTGATCACTTCTGAAATTTTTTGTCCATTTTGACGAACAGCACCCGCCTTGAACAATGGTCGGAAGAACGGATCCTGGAGAAGTTCTTTTCCGCGAAGACGTTTTTCTGGAGTGTACACCAGGATGCGTTTCAAAAACTGGAGCTGTTCTGGTGTAATTTCGGTGACAAGCTGAAATAATTTAGCTCATAACTTGGAAGTATACTGGAAATCAAAAACTCACCCTTTGCAATCCATATCCTTTCGTGAATTTCCAAAATTCCTGGTCCAGTCTTTCTCCTTTCATGGCCTTGATCTCCTGCTCATTTGGTGCTCCAAAACAACGACAATACAATTTCATCTGATGAGTACTATCCCGTCCAGGAAAAACCACATGACGCTTCACCATTTCCGCCAGAATGCAACCTGCTGACCAAGCATCAACTGTTGCCGAATATTCCATGGCCTTCTGGAGCAATTCAGGTGGTCTGTAGAATCTGGTGACTTGATAGAAGTTGTTGGCTTTTCCCTTCACGATGATTTTCGCAGATCCAAAGTCACTGATTTTGAGAAGCGCAGTATCATGATCCACAAGAATGTTGACTGGTTTCAAGTCTCGATGAACCACTTTGTGCTCCTCTAGATATTTCAATCCAGCGAACATCTGCCATGTATAGAGACGGATATCAATATCAGTCAGCTTCTGACGTATGACTTCGGCGAGTGTATTTGGCATGTAGTCGAAAACATACGATTCACAAACCTGAAGAGTGTTGAGAAAGTTGAATTTTGGTTCTTCAAAAATACCTTATTATCATAATTGTGACTAAATGCAAAAATCATCTGAATCACATTCTTGTGTTTGCTCCGCTCGCGTCCAGTCAAAAAAATGAACTCAAAGTTTCGCTCTCCTTTTTCCGGCCAACTCTTCTTAATGGCAATCTTCTTTGCATATGGCTCACGAAGGTCTCCTTTGTAGACGTTGCTGAACACGCCGCACGAGTGAAGATGAACGTCGTCGATTTTTAGCATCACTTTTTTATTGTCGGCTGGCATTTCGTAAGCCTCCTGAATGTTGTATCTTGTTGGAGAGACGAGGGGCATGGATATACGGTACCTGCTCAACAGTAACACTCATCCTCGAGCTATTGGCTACAGCAGCTTAACTATTAAAACTGAGGGATAAAGGATTTTGTGGGAACTTCCGAACTTTTTAACTCGTTTTTTGGTACTTTTCATCCTGTCGTGGATTCATGTGTCACGATTTTTATGTTAGGACGTGATAATGCTTTATTTAGGTATCCACATGGAATCAGCTCTTTTGAATAGGGGATGTCTCTGGTACAAAAATCGGAGCTGTAGGTCCCACAGCGACAACTACAGTAACCTTAAAGGGTTTTTACTTTCTGGATTCATTTTCTCATCTTCCGAACCTTTTCAGTCAATTTTTCACTATCAAAAATTTTTTTATCGAGAAAAAAAAACTCTGAACATACAACTCTGTTTAGGTTACTGTAGTTGCCGTTGTGGGAGCTTCTGTCACGCGCACAAGCTTTTCTCTTGTACATCTCCGATTTTCCCTCTTCCCACAAGGTCAATCTGTAGCATTACATTTCTCCGGGCTTCCCCCTTCCAACTTGCAAAAACTATCTTTTTGTCTTCTTATCACAGAAAGAATCGTTCTCTCTTCTCCTCCCCAATATCATCTTTATCGATTCCAATCAGTATCAATTGGCTGCACGCCTACCTTTTTGAGATAATCGGTCAAAAGACCACGTGGTGACAACTGGAAGGATGATAAAAGTAGTTCATAGATCGGTTATGTCTTATATATTGTCAATGAAAATGAACATCGTAAAAGATTGCTGGCTGTAAATCACATGCTCCGGTCTTTCCATTTTTTTTACTGTCTAGGATTCTAGATATTGATCAAGACAGCCTTGATTGACAACGCTATCCCCAATCTCTAAACAATCTCCCTTTGTCTCGCCCCGCCCCCTCATCTATCCCTCGCATTCCTCCTTTGCTATCTTCTCTCCATTATTGTTTTTTGACCACTAAACTGGTGTGTGTGCCTCTCTGTGTTGCTTTTTTCTCCTTTTTTCCCACTTTCGTCTTTCCGTTTTCAGATGAACAGATTCTTGAACAAAGGAACCATTGCCACGTTGCAGCAATTCAGAATGGCTTCGAATCTTCTCATCAACGACTCTAAGTACGCCTTCCTCAAGGAGCTTGGACTGAAGGAGAACAACGCGGGAGTGTTCCATGGAAAATGGGCAGCCAATGGACAAACTGTGCAATCGTTTGCTCCAGCCACCAACTCTCCTATTGCCAATGTGAGTTGAATCCCCCGTTTTAGTTTGTTCTATAACTCTTCCCTAGTTCTAGGTGCAAAATGGAAATGTGCAAGACTACGAGATCGCCATCACGGAAGCTCGCAAGGCTTACAACGACTGGTGTGAGGTTCCAGCTCCGCGTCGTGGAGAGATCGTCCGCCAAATTGGAGACAAGCTCCGCACTCAACTCCAAAATCTGGGAAAGCTAGTTTCTCTTGAAATGGGAAAAATCTCTGCTGAAGGAGTCGGAGAGGTTCAAGAATACGTTGACATTTGTGACTACGCCACCGGATTGTCGAGATCTCTCGAAGGAAAGATCTTCCCTTCTGAACGTCCAGGACACGCTCTTCTCGAACAATGGAATCCACTGGGAGTCGTCGGAGTCATCTCTGCATTCAATTTCCCATGTGCCGTCTACGGATGGAACAATGCTTTGGCACTTGTTACTGGAAACGCTTGCATCTGGAAACCAGCTCCATCCACTCCATTAACTGCTATTGCTGTCACAAAGTAAGTTAGCCTCAATTTCAATCTTGACTGCTTTCATCAAAAAAAATCTGTTTCCAGACTTGTTGAGGAAGTTCTAGTCGCCAACAACGTCAACCCTGCTCTTTGCTCTCTTGTATGCGGAGAAGGAGACGTTGGACAGGCTCTTGTGAAAGATAAGAGAGTCAACCTCGTCTCATTCACTGGATCCTCTGAAATCGGAAAGATTGTTGGTCAACAAGTCCAAGCCCGCTTTGGAAAGCTTCTTCTTGAACTTGGAGGAAACAATGCCATCATTGTTAACGAGGACGCCGACTTGAACATGGTCGTTCCAGCCACAGTATTCGCTGCCGTTGGAACTGCTGGACAAAGATGCACCACAACCAGAAGACTGATTATTCACGAGAAGGTTTACGATCAAGTTGTCGAAAGACTGAAGAAGGCTTACGCTCAATTCGAATCTAGAATCGGATGCCCATTGGACTCGAACACCATCATTGGTCCACTTCACAACCAACAAGCTGTTGGAAAGTACAAGGCTTCGATCGCAGAAGCAATTGCTTCTGGTGGAAAGGTTGAATATGGAGGAAAGGTTTTGGAAAGAGATGGAAACTTTGTTCTTCCAACTATTGTCACTGGATTGAAACACGATTCACCAGTGGTCCTTCGAGAGACTTTTGCTCCGATTCTCTATGTTTTGAAGTTCTCAACTCTCGATGAGGCTATTGCTATCAACAACGAGGTCGACCAAGGATTGAGTTCATCCCTCTTCACCACTAATATTCAAAACGTTTTCAAGTGGATGGGGTGAGTTTTTTTCGAATATGATGTATCGAAGCAAATCAATGTTTTTCAGACCAAAGGGAAGTGATTGTGGAATCGTCAATGTCAACATTCCAACATCTGGAGCCGAAATCGGAGGAGCGTTCGGAGGAGAGAAGAGACCGGCGGTGGTCGTGAATCTGGATCCGACTCGTGGAGACAATATATGAGACGTTCCACATGCACCATCAACTACAGCAAGGAACTTCCACTTGCTCAAGGAATCAAATTCGAGTAGATTAGAATAAATAGTAGTTTTGTAAATAATTGATTTAGTTGATTTTTGTAGCATAATTATCATGTGCCTTTTTGCGAGTAATACCTCTTGTGATGTGAATTCTTGGTGCCATATCATTCCAATTTATTTTTTCTCTGATTTCTTTGGTTACTGATGTTCCTATTCAATAAACGTCATATAATATTGAGCGTAGACAGGGTAGGAAGCCAGGAATATTTCACACTGATAAGAAAAAGAATTTCATCACTTTCAGTCATGTCCAGACACTATAAAATTGCAGATACTTCTCCGAATTTTCCAGACGTTGTACATATCAAGGTTCGTGTAGTTTTGAATTTTTTGGATTACCAAATTTTAGTTTTTGCGAAGGTGCCACAACGAAAACTACCGTAACCTGAAAATGTTCGTATTTTCTAAGTTTTCCTCTTTTTTCAGTCAATGTTTTACTAGAAAAAGTTTAATTTTGCGACTTTTATGGAGGAAAATGACAGAAAAATCAACGAAATACTCTTTTGAATGACAAAATTTCGATTTTTCGTACTTTTCTTGTAAAAAAATCTGAGAAGGTCCCACTGCGAAAACTACCGTAACCTGAAAATATTCGAATGTTCTGTTTTTCGTGCGTTTTCGGTCGAATTTTTTTAATTAGCAAAAATTTTTGTTTTGCGACTTTTCTAAAGGAAAATGACAGAAAAATCAACGGAAAAATCCGCAAAACATACATATTTTTAGGTTACGGTAGTTGTCGTTGTGGGACCTTCGAACACCGCCACCGGCGTTTCCCTTCAGCCGAACACTTGCATTTATTGATTTTTGTTCTAAAACAAACATTGTTCCTCCCTTCTCATAATTTCAAACATTCCAGCATGAGAAAAATGGCAACCGAAGCTGTGTACGGTAGCTGGGACAGTCCCATCACTCCGGATCTCTTCGGAAAATGCAATTGCAAAACGATTTGTGAAATGCAAGTAGTCGGAGAAAACGTTTACTGGATTGAGCAGAATGCGGTGACCGGCAAACGAGAGCTCTATTCGAAACCGACGAAAGGAGAGAAAAGAACTCGTTGGGCAGATGGATTCTCTGTCCAAACGGCCGTTCATGAATACGGAGGAGGTGCTCTTCATGTGTTGAATGATGGTTCTGTGCTTTTTGCCACCATTGAAGGTGTATTCTATCAAAAGTCGGCTGATTCTGGAGTGGAGCAATTGGCGGAGGCAAATAATCGAACTTTTAGGTATTAAGCTAAAAGATTCTTGCTGTTTTCAAGTTTAAGGGATTTTTCAGATTCGCTGACTTCTCTGCCACCGACTCCCACGTCTTCTGTGTCAATGAGAATCATCAGGGTGATGCAAAGTTCCCAGAGAACCGTCTAATCTCTATCGATCGTTCCACAAAGAATCAAAACGTTGTCGCGAAAGGAGCAGACTTTTACGCGTACCCAAGAGTCTCTCCAGATGGAAATAAACTGGTTTGGATGCAATGGAGTCATCCGAATATGCCTTGGGATGAGACATCAATCAGAATGGCTGATTTGAAAGGAGGAGAGCCTAGCAATGAGATGATTCTGAAGGATGGAGGTGGAAAACAAATCAACTATTCTGAGCCCACTTGGGATGGTGATGAGCTGTTAACTGTGAATGATAGTACGAACTGGTGGAATGTGTATCGTTCGGCTGCCGAACCGAACGCTGTGGAGAAGAATCTGAATCCAATTCAACGAGAAATCAGTTACCCACTCTGGCAACTTGGATTCAGAAACTATGTTCTCAATAAGAAATATCTGGTAATGAATGCTGATGGAATTCTTTATGTTCGCTCTGAAAACGTCACTGTGGAAATCCCAACACCGGGATACACCGTATTCGGATACCTCTCCCTCGATCCCAATGGATCTGAGGTGTTTGCAATCGCTTCAGGACCCAAACGTGCTTCCAGTGTCATCTCTATCGATCTCTCCAATCCCTCTTTTCCACTGAAGGTTCATCGTGAATCCAGAGATTCTTCAGAAATCGACGCACTCGAAATCTCGGAACCCGAAGAGTTTGTATTCAAATCTGACGGTGTCAACGTCTCCGGATACTTTTATCCACCAAAGAACTCTGCATATTCTGCACCAGCTGGGACACTTCCACCAGTTCTACTTCTAGGACACGGTGGTCCCACTGCACCAGCACAAAACAATTTGGATCTCAAGAAACAGTTCTTCACATCTCGCGGAATCGCAGTGTTCGATGTCAACTACCGTGGATCGACTGGATTTGGAACTGAATTCCGGAGAATGCTTTATAAGAACTGTGGAGTTGCTGATAGGGACGATATGTTAAATGGAGCTAAAGCACTGGTCGAGCAGGGAAGAGTCGACCCAGACAAGATTTTGATTACTGGAAGTTCCGCTGGAGGGTAAGCAGCTTATTATCAGAAGTGTTTTTAAATTTTTCTTTCAGATATCTCATCCTCAGCTGTCTCATCTCCCCGAACAACGTCATCAAGGCTGCTGTATCTCTTTATGGTGTTGCAGATCTTCTTGCTCTAGATGAAGACACTCACAAATTGGAGAAGAGCTACAACGAACTACTCATCGGAAAGTATCCAGAAGAAGCGGCTATTTATCAGGAACGTAGTCCGATCTACCATATTGATAAGATCCGTACCCCTATCGCCTTCTTGCATGGAAAAGAGGATACCGTTGTTCCGATGAACCAATCTGTGACCATGTTCGAAAAAGTGCGATCTTCCGGAGTCACGACAGCTCTTCAGTTGTACGATGGAGAAGGGCATGGATTCAGAAACGGACAAGTTATCAAGGAAAGCACAGAAGCAACTTTCTACTTCCTCATGAAAGCCGTCGGAATTGAGCCATCAATTAGTTCAAAGATTGAGATTTTTAACCCAAAGCTTTAGTTCTTTTTTGATTTTTACATTTAAATTTTTCAAAAATGTTTTCATTGGCTTCTACAAACTTAATTTATAAATGAGAGTTGAAACCGGATATTGAGACATTAGAAGAATCATGGGAAGGGTATCACATAAATTAATTTACATTTACTATTGCATGTTGCTAAGAACATTTGATAGACGCTCGAAGAATGTCGAGTAGAGACGAGTGGCTTGGAAGATGCTTGAGGTGTCGGCGAACTCACTGAAAGTAAAAAAAAAAGTCAAAAATGTTCCTCAATACTGGGAGAAAAGAAAACTTACCGAATGGAGTGCATGGCGAGTTGTGGGCATCCGACATCAACTGTCTGGAGACCAAGTTTGGTGGAAAGAATCGGTCCAACGGTGGATCCACATGGGGAATCGTTTCTGACGACAACGACTTGAAGTGGGACTCCAGCTTCAAAAGCGACCTGCTTGAGAGCTGCGTGAGTAGTAGAGGTGGTAGCATAGCGTTGATTAACGTTCACTTTGACAACAACTCCTCCATGGAACGTTGGGCGATGATTTTCCTCGTGTTTCACAGAGTAATTCGGGTGCGCAGCATGGGCTTGATCAGCCGAAATCAACATACTCTTTCCGATTGCTTCCTCGAACGATGTGGCCGATCCTCCAGCGGAAAGTCTTCTGAGAACAAATTCAGTGAATGCCGAGGACGCTCCCATTGCTGAGTCGGATCCTACTTCCTCGTTGTCATAGCACGCCGCGATGCGAATCTGTGGATCGGATTGGAAGGCCGCCTCTCCAGAGAGTGACTCCAGAAGTCCAGAGATGGCTGTGTATGTTCCAACTTGATTGTCAAGGCGAGCGCCAGAGATGAATTCCTCTTCTACTCCAACGATAGCTGCTTTGTTGGTGTCATAAAGGTAGAGATCTAAATCCACAATATCCTCGGGTTGACATCCTGCCTCCTTTGCGATCAATCCTAGGAACTGTGGATGATGATTGGCGGTGATGTTACGTGGATCGTATTCTCCCTTTGATTCTTCTTTAGCTGGACCATTGATTCCAGCAGCAGCGAACGACTCGAGAATTGGCCGAAGCTCAGTTTCAGTGTTTGGTTTGAATGTTGTTCTATCAGTTTCCAAGTGAATAGCCAAGTTTGGGATGAAGAGAACTGGTCTCTTAACGTCAATCAGCTTGTGTTGAAGTTTATCTCCATTCTTCACGATCACCAATCCAGCGACAGACAAATCACGATCGAACCAAGTTCTCCAGATGCCACCTCCATAGGTTGATACTCCGACTTGAAGGAATTTATCCGATTTCTGATGGGAGATCGGCTTCACACGAAGGCATGGGCTGTCTGTGTGACCAACGACGATCGAGAATCCGTTTCCTGGCTTGTAAGCACCTCCGACGGCAAATGCGAGGATTGCCGAACGATTTTTGGTAACGAAGTATTTGTTAGCTGGCTGAATTTCCCAGTGTCCGGCTTCTGGAAGCTCCTTGAAACCAGCCTGAATAAGGCGCTCCTTTACTTCCTGAGTAGCTGAAAAAAACATTTCGTAGGCTTAACTTCTGAAAAACGTTCTCTCACCATGGAAAGGAGTGACTGCCTTGTTCAGGTAGTTGATGAACTCCTGTGCGGCTTTGCGGATTTCTGGGGCGTTCGGCTTCAAAGCGGCAGCCATCTGGAAAATGTCAATTGATTTTTGGGTCCAAAATTAATAAAAATATAAAATGAAAAGAGTAAAAACCTTTTTATAACTGGTATTAGGTTCAGAATGAGAATGTTTTGGGAAGCAGCCGCAAACCGATTTGAATTTTTCCGAAAGTTTTCTCGAGGTACAAGACGCCTTCTTTGTCATTTTTCAATATAATGAAAAGTGATACGACTGTTAGATGGGTGCCCTTTATTTTATTACTATGTAATTTTTTGGGAGAAAAAAGATAAGAAACCAAATGTTGCATAAAAATCGAATCCGAAACACTGCGTTCTACTGCCCAAAAACTGGCGGAGGGAAGTTTCGCGAAAGAGAAAAAATGGGTTATCAAATAGTTTATTATCACGGGAGTTATCTCGATTTTGAAAAGAATCAAAGACGAAAAGATGATAAGAAATCAAAAAGAGTGAAGAAAATGCGATGAAAAGTGGGGAAGAGAATCGAGCAGAAACTGTATTAAAGGAGCATTCATCAAATAGCTTCAATGGTTTATGCCGCGAAAAGATACCGTATTAAAGGAACATAACTTACATTGTTGAAATGGCTTCTACTACGAAAACTACTGTATTGAAGGAGCATTGAAAAAGAATTGAAAATATTTACAGCGAAAACAAGAATTTTTCTCTTTGTTTGCTTTCAAAACTTTCGTTTCTCACTGATTTCGTTTCAGATCATGTGCTCTTTTCTTCGATCAAAAAGCCAAAAAGTTAAATTACAGCGTCAAATCCATTGAAAAAACAACTAAATTTCCAAAGCAGTCACATAAAATTGTTCACTGCTCCTCCCTTTCAAAAAGGTCACCAAATGGCCGAACTTTTTCGGAAAACTAGTCCCTTCCAACATTGAATTGCAACCCCGAGACTTTTTTTTGATAATTAGTTAATTGTGCTCATCATTTCATTTTTTCAAATATTTTCATTTTCAGTAGTATGTCAGAACCATCAGCCAGCGAAGAAGTGTTACCGGAGGACAAGGTCTCGTATCGAATGAAATCGATAATTTTCCGTAAAGTGCAATTTTCAGGAGGAGCAAACAACGAATGCCAAAAAGGTTTCGCAAGTGTCTCCGAATCCGACATTGCAATGTGAAATGTGTCAGAACTATGAAGTAAATCTGACGGCGATGCAGGTGACCGATTCGTGGGAACTTCACAAAATAAGCATCATCAATATTCAAAAATATTTGCTTTTCAGGAGAACGAGCGAAAACTAAAAGAAGAAGTGAAAGCGGCGATGGAGCTAGCCGAACGATATCAACTAGATTTGAGTGACGAACGCGATTATCGGAAGGAGTTGGAAAAGAAGATGAATGAATTATCAACGAATTGTTTGAATCAGGTCAACGAGGCGGCAAAAGCTAATGCGAAATCTGAGAAACGGTTAGATGAATTGAGTGCAAAGGTAGGATTTTTATAACTTATTTTGAGTCGCCCAGACAAAAATTCGGCCTTTTTCAGCACGATAAATCGATAGAAGTGTTCACGGAACAGCTGAATTTAGCTCAGGAGAAGCTTCAAAAAGCTGAAGAAGACTTTATAACGCTAGGAAAGAAATACAAGAAACTACTAGGATCGACTCGAAAATCTGCCCAAGAGCTTCGATCGGAGAAAATCGATCTGCCAGCGGATATAGATCAATTGCAGTTCATCTGCCTAAAAAATAGGGAAGAATTGATTGAGACGAGAGCGGCGAAGGAGCACACCGAGCAACACTTGAAGGATGAAATCACGGTTCTGCGTGCCGGAATTCAAGAGGAACGAGTTCATCGTGAAGACCAAGAAGTGGCATTTACCGCTGAAATCAGTCGATTGCAATCGGAACTTGGAAGTGTAAATAGCAAATTCACTGTGGCTTCTGAATCGATTGCTGATCAGACGTCTAATAATCGACAGATTCGAGATTTACAAGCTACGGTGGCCGAGTTGGAAGCTCAAGTCCAACAGGTTCAAAATGAGAGATCCGCGGTAGAACAAACAGCACAGAATTATAAACAACGGTGCACAAGTTTGCAACAAGAGCTGGAAACTTCCGAAATCGTGCAGAGAGATTTTGTAAAACTCTCGCAGAGTCTTCAGATCCAACTGGAAAAAATCCGACAGTCGGAACAAGAAGTTCGGTGGCAATGGGACGATGATGTGAATCAGTGCTCCAATTGCGACACTTCTCTAGTTAAACTGAAAGCCAAACCACAGTGACTTGTTTCTAAATAAAATGTACAAAAAATATATTAATTCCAGTTGTCTTCACTGCGGCAAAATATTCTGCACGAACTGTCTGAAAGACACCGTTCCAAGTGGACCATCTCATCGACCTGCTAATGTATGCAAAGTGTGTCACACGCTCCTCAACAGAGACACCAAACCATTCTTCGCGACTCAAGATAAATAAGACCAATGTATTTATATCTAAACCCCTGTTTCACCCATTCTTTCCGCGTGCGCTAGACTTATATTTATGTTTCCTAGTGAGCCACTTTTCTTCTTCTTGTACAATGTGAGCAATGTGAAAAAATTCCAAATTTGATCCAAAGTTGTGCATTAAATATATTATTTGTTTATTTCTTCAGTAATAATGCAGAAGCTTTCGATTACAGTCTCATCATGATTTGCAGTTTGAATACTAATCGACTCCAAGAATCCACTCTGCTCATAAATCCACGTGGAATCTTCAGATTTCACAGCGAAATCCGTTTTATTGAAAACTAGATCAATAGGATGACTGCAGATGCAAGTTACTTTGATTTTCTTGAATGGATTTGAATCGAATGTAAAGAGCCTGAAATCTTCTTTAAATTTGAAAATATTAAATTTAGAAATTTCTAAAATCGCTTACAAAAACTTGCGATGTCTTCCAAAAAGTTTGAGGCCTTTTCCAACGACTTGATGGCAGAAACTAGTCAGACTCTGAGGTTGCAGCTGGATTTTGCCCAATTGATAATGCCAGTTTTCATCCATTCCTGTTGCAAAGTTTGTTGTGAAGCTTGCAGAAGTTAGAGGTCTGGTTTTCACATGAGGGTATATTTTCGACCAAAATCTGAAAACTCTTCTTTCAATTTACGAATTTTTATATGTAACTTTACAGAATTCCTTTGAGAATCTGATTCTCTTCTTCGAATTTCTCATAAATCCATCCTGGCGCAAAAAGGGCAACAGACATGTGAAACAGTTTGGCGAGAGCAAACGACTGATCACAATTAAATTCTCCAACACATCCACGAGCCCAAACATCAATTCCGACGAAGATTTTTTCGAGAATTCCAAACTCTGCGGATCGTAAAAGATCGCCGTCTTTCCAGTTGTAATTCAAGTAGATTGCGTCGCATGCTTCATAGAATTTACTAAAAGTAATTTTTTCTGGAATCTAGAAAACTCTGTGCAAAAATATTCGGAATGACCTTCTCGGAATTCCGAAAATTTCTTTAAAATATTTCCGAATTTTCTTTGGACTACAGTATGTCAAAGGCACATGCAAAAAGTTCCCTGGCGGGTTTCGAGCGGAATTATTTTTAGATCTTATTTTTGCGTTTTTGAATTTTTTTTTTGTCAATTTTTCGTACTTTTGTGATCTGAAAATTTTGGAATTTTGAAGCTTAGAGCTTCCGAAAATACTGGATATTTTAAAATAGCAAAACTCCGAAATCTAGAAACTCAGAATTTTCGAAAAAAAGCCATTCCAAACATCCCTGCTGTGTGAAACTAACTTATTCTTCGAGTTCAGCGCATTTTGCCAGTGCAACTTTCCATTATGAAGCACAGAATCGTACCAGATAACCTTAGAATTCAAATTCTTTTCCTTCGATTTTTGAGTCAATTTTTCACAAAAACAAATCAACAACTCAATTTTCTCCTCATCAATTTCGTTTTCAATATTTATAAGCCATCCGTCGAAACCATAATAATTCGCAACTGCCACTAAACTATTCACAGTTTTCTCCATCGTTTCCTCGTTCTCCAAAATTCGCGAACAAATTTCCTTCCCCGATTTCCACTCGGTGATAAAAGTTCCCAGTGACAAAACTCCGTGTTTATGAGCGATTCGAGTGTAATCCGACGGCGGAATCGTCACGAAATGATGCGAGAAATAGTTGAATACATCGATTTGCCACCAATTCAGAAACATGTACGGATACTTATCTTTCTCAAATTGCTTCCCTTCCGTTGACTCTTCAGGCAAATATCCTCCTCTCATATCGTGGCATACTAAGATCTGAGGACCAGAATGCGGTTTGAAATGTACAAGAGGTTCAGTGAAGTCATTTCCAACGTCTTCTCGTTTCTCCCAACTCCACAACTCTTCCAATGTGTCGATAGGCGAGATCGTCATTCTTAAATGAACGCTTTGAGAAGCTGGATTTTCTAGTGAAATCGCTCCAATAGTTTTTGTGACTTGACACAGTTAAAATATAATTTACCCAAAAAGAAAAAAAATAGAATCAATAAATAAATGAAAACGACTGCAACAAGTTCGCCCGAACCAAGTGAGAAGATAAGAATTCAAATCGGAATAAATTAAATTAATCTCTAAAGTTCGTCATCTGGGATATCCGAAAGATCCATTGTGTCGTCTTGTGGTGGCTCGTTTGGTGGGAGAGCTGCCACGTCGACAGATGAGCAAACTCCAACTTCCAAGTGGCAGAATTGTTTGACTGGTTCCTCGTGGGCGGTTTTCAAGAATGTTAGAAGCTCGTCTTCATGCGAATCGATGAAGTCGTTGCACTAAAGAACTTTTTTTTTATGAAAAAGAGTCGCGCTTCATGAAAAAGAGAGACTTACAGCATTTTGCAAACGAGATCTCATTTTCGAAGTCTCATCTCCTTTCAAATATGTCGCATCTTTGTGGACGTATACAGACTTCCCAGTTATCGTATTAACCTAAATTCAAAAATAATTTCCGTTTTTCTCAATTTTCTGTTGAGTTGCATACCACAAGTTTATAATGCTTCGCCTCATCGCAAACGTTCTCAATAATTTCAGTCAGATGAGATTCAGATCGTGCATAACCGATTTCTTTAAGCCCTTTTTGTTCCCCAGTTGGTGATACACGGAAACTGCCCACTTCGATTTTCTTCTTGGGGTCAACTCCAGCGATTTTGAGCTCAAAGTGTGTCACTAGCAGAGAGCAGGCTGAAAATTGAAAATAGCAAAAAAAAATGCGATTTTTTAAATGATACCTCCACATTCCAATGATGAAACTGAAGCTGAATTGAAACCCGAAATTGATGATAGAAGAATAACCGAAAATGTGAATAATTCCATTCTAAAGAAGAGCAAATGAAGGTAAAAAAGTCGATATTGTGAGAGTGTTAACAGAGAACAGAGAGCAAACAGAGACCCAGAAAAGAACGGTATTTGGATAGGTATCCAATGTACAAACATAGTTTTGAATGGAAGAAAATTAGGAGTTTATTGTCAATTTGAAGATAAAATCATAATTAAATAGGACGACGAGGGATAGGGAATGTAGGTGGACGAGCCGGTGGACGACGGATTATGGTAACACTGCGAGGAATGACGTTGCACAGCTTTTTTTTGGAAATGTTCAATTTTTAAGAATAAAAAAATTGCTGAAAGTTCCTACTCGAAAGCGATCCTCTTTTTCATATTTTCCTCTGTTGGCAAATTATGCTCCGTTTTCAGATAGGCTTCGTAATCCTTCCACATCACAGTTGAATTTTTCTGTGGTCTACCACGAAGTGCGCTTATCATCGTACCGGTATTCAGACAGAATGGCATTTCTCGGATTTCGTTTCTGAAAAAAAACATTTTTTATATTTTTGATCCCAAGGTGAAGGTAGACCTACAAACAATCTGTGATTCTTTCTCGGAAAAACGCGGTCAGCGAATCTTTCAGCTTACACGCTTCGTAGTAGCGTTGCTCTCGAATCGTTTCATCTTCGCCAAGAGATTGGTAGAACGGAGTATCGGGATTCAGTTCCTCGTATGAACACGTTGCGTCTCCAATTCCAGTGAGATCCAGGAGAAAATCTGGAAAAATACGTTTGAGTTTTATTAACCTTTACAGAATTTTTTCGGAATTTCGAAATATCGAAAATCCCGATTTTCAAAATATCGGAGTTTTTTGGAACACCGAAAACTTCGATTTTCCAAATTTCGGGATTTTTGTAATATCTAAAACTGCGATTTGCGAAATTTTGCAATTTTTTTTTGAAATGTCGGAAAATTCCGATTTTCAAAATTTTGCAATTTTTGGAATACCGAAAACTGCGATTTTCAAAGTTTCGGAATTTTTTACATTTAACTTTTAAAGTAGAAATCCCACTTTCCTCTCACAAAAGCACAAACAGTTGGCGAAAAATTGGCTTCAAAAACAGAAAAACTTATTAAAGGTGGTGTACGGTGAAATTTTTTATTGCATCAAAATGTGCAGAAATGCATGTAGATTGACATAAAAATAAAGAAAAAATTCGAAAAAAATTCCTTCATCGAGAAAAACGCATTGAAAAATACGCTGAAAGCCCTTAGGGATGAGGTTTTTTCTAGGCCGCGCGGTGAGTAAAAGCGCGCGAATTCAAACTTTTAAAGTTTTTTCGCTCGTTTTCACTTTTTTTTTCAAATTTTCCGATGTATCTGGAAGAAAAATTGACAAAAACCTAGAAAACTCTTGAAAAAACCGAAAAAAAAAGTGAAAACGAGCGAAAAATTTTTAAAAGTTTGAATTCGCGCGCTTTTACTCACCGGGCGGCCTAGAAAAAACCTCGTCCCTAAGGGCTTTCAGCGTATTTTTCGATGCGTTTTTCTCGATGAAGGAATTTTTTTCGAATTTTTTCTTTATTTTTATGTCAATCTACATGCATTTCTGCACATTTTGATGCAATAAAAAATTTCACCGTACACCACCTTTAAAGCTAATTCCGCTCGAGACCCACAAGCAAATTTTTTGCATGCGCCTCTGACATACTGTAGTTTGAAGAGCTTTGAAATTCCAGGCTACTTGGACATAAAGACTTACCAATAACACCATCTACAATACTCTGCGGAAGATTCAAAATTGCTCTCTTATGACTGTTTCCTGATCTTCGCAAAGTATATCTCCAAATCATACAGCGAGGACGACAAGCCAAGATAAAGTAGCCCTTCAGAAACTGTTTAGTTTTGTTCAGTAGTTTGGCAGTACTTCGGAATCGCAACTGGCGAAAGACGTACGACAAATCAGCGTTCTGAAAGTTTGCGATTTCCGCTGATTTCTTAGGAATCCGGTTTTTTTACCGAAAACACGCCGACAGCTTCAATATTATATGGCTTTCCATAATCTGGAAGATTTGCCATGTGCACATCTATTGAATCGAATCGAGGCTCGGGATAGGTTGCAGAAGTATGCTCTGTGATGGATTTCCGCAAGTCTCGAATGTTCGATTTCAACGCATTCCACTGAAAAGTATTATTTTTCATATAAAAAAGAAAATCACGAACCATAACAGACGTTCCTAGCATTGCAAATCTTCCATCTTCAGCTCCCCGTTCCATCAAGCCATAAACCAAGTTTTCCATTGAAATACTTCCCAAGAACGGGCTCTCAGAAGTCCCATTTTTCAATGCCTTCTCCAGTGTTAAATGGTTTAAAGTTTTATCAGATGTACCCAGCATGACATTTTTTCCAATATCGATTACATTTAAATTGTCTCCAGAAACAGTCTCAGCTACTTTTTCTGCAAGAGGAACAGGTATTTCTCGAAATTTCAAATAATAAAAACCAACCCATCCGCTTATTCCTCCTGTCGAAAAGCGAGTCTCTCCTGTAATTTTTTGTTGGTTGAACTGGCTGCAGCACTTCCATGTAGTACTCTTCGTCATCTTCAACTTCCTCAACAATTTCTTCATCATATTCAATGTCTTCAGTTTCTACAATCTCCTCGTGATCGTTGAGCGGAACATGGTATGTGTAGGCAATGCCTGGAAAGTAAGGATCTATTTTTATGAGTATTTATTGTTTAAAATGCTTTCTTTTACCTTTTTCATTCATTTTTATACAGAGTTTTCGTGCGAAATTCGGATTGTTTGAGGAAAAGTCGGAAAATTTTTCCAAGTTTTCGCAATGGAGCGCATTTTCTCACACTTGTTTTTTTTCTGAGACCCCG